CCAGCCCGGTAACCTTGGATAAACAAGAAAGAGAACAAATCACCAAAGCTTGCAAACAGCTTCAGATGACTGTGCAGAGTAGCCAGCATTAGGATCCAAAGACACTGGTCTAAGCCTATAACTCTTCACCACCCAGAGTTTATAGCGAATGAGACCTTTGGGGTAGAGGCCTTTCCCTAGTTCTGGCTTGGTAGACGTTGCTGCTATTCTCTTTTCCTTGGAAACTGCACCGACTTTTCTCGGACATCCAAGTCGCCTTCCTGCCACACCACAGTGCCTGCATCCTGATCCTTCCCCGCTTCTTCCTTCTCCATCCTCCCAGAGACCCTTTCTCATTCTGCGTTCCAACACACCAACCCCCTCAGGGGTTGCACCCGACACCTCCAACCTCAGAGGTCTCCCCATTATCATTCCCTCAATCATCTCCTCCACTAGCCCCTTTGTTTCTCCCACAGCCGCCCCCCCCCGCCCCATCCCGCCCAGTCACCTCTCTCCTCTCTCGCTCACCGCTTAAACCCAGCACCTGCTCCACTCCACCCGGAACCTTCCGGCTGCTCCAGTGGCTCGACACTTCCTCACGACGTGGCGCTGGAAGAATATGTCATCGCCGGGCGCTGGAACACGCCCCCTCCCGCCACCCAATGGGCGGTGTCGGGCCCTGCGCCTGCGGGCTTGGAGGAGGGGCGGTGCTAACGTTCCGGCCTAAAGTCGCACTCCCGGAGGCGGGGCAGGGAAGAGCTGCGCTCACGTGACCGAGTGGGGCGGGCGGGTTCCGGGCCACGTGCTTGGGGACCCGGCCGGGAAAGGCGGGGCTGAGATCGCCTCGGGGAGCGGAGAGGTCTGTATCTCTCCGCAGGTCGGGAGGCCTCGGGCGGGCTCCCCTAAAGAGCGAGAATTCGGGGATCCCCATGCCGAAGCGCAAGGGCGTTACAGCCGCTGGTGGCAGTTTGGGACTGCTGAGAAAGGAGTTTGGGCGGTGTCCCGCACGCTGGAAGGCCTAGAGACCTGGCCCAAGTCTTTCAAATCCTGTATTTACTGTTTGCAGTTTTGTTTAGTGGATTTTAATCATTTGGTAAATTCCTAGCTCTAGTCAGTCTCACAGACCCACTTACTATCAATCCATTTTGTGCTGATTTGTGCACTCATATTTTAAGATTTTCAGATTCTCAGGACCTACCCAGAGGAACTCAAAATAGGGTTGAGGCCAGAAAGCTCTGCTCTAAGAATGACTAATAACTGAGAGGCCATCGATTAACCTTGATAGAAAAATCATAGGCATTAAGCTCTGTACCAAACCTTTAAGGAAAACTGTTGCAGGAATTTGAGCACTCACAAAAGGAACTGAGTTCAATTTTCTGAAAATTAGAAAAGCAGGGGAAAAAAAAACCCCAACTTTACAATTTCCAAAGAACCTTGTAGTTTCTCACTTTGTAATCTCATCCGAGGAACAAGGTAAGGAAGAGTTGCTGCACTGGTAACTCCCAGTTCATCATGTGTCTGATGAAAGGGTTACTTTTAACACACATGATCAAAGAAAGCCCTAGAGATGAGTGACCCACCCACGAATAGTCTTAAGCTTTTCCATCCTTCCTGCTTTGCGTCCTGGGAGCTAAGTTTCAGCCTAGCTGATTACTTCAGTTTTGCAGAAGACCATTTACTGAAGCCCTGTAATAGTTTGCTACTTTTAGCAGCTTCCATGGTCAGCTTTGACTTTTGGGCGTGAAATCTCTGGAGTGGGTATGTAATTTCTTGGCCTTGTTCTGCTGTTTCTGTGCACTTTGTGTAATAAATGGCATGCCTCCAAGCAAGTTTTTTTCTTCTTAAATCCTTCCCTTGGGGGTGGGGGAACTAGATGTTTTAAAATACAATGTTCATTAGAAGGCTAGCACACTTGCACTCCAATAAAATGTTAACGTTTTTGTATAGCTAATCAGTGTTACTTCCTCTGGCCTCAATTTCCCTAGTTCCACATATTCCCCTCCCTGGGGTGCTACAGGGGGTTAATTAATTAAGATTTGTAAAAGGCTTTGAGGAGCAGGGGAGAAAGTATTAGGGTCTCATGCCCCAAGCCATGGCCCCATCCTTTCATCCCAGCCAGTGGCACAGGCAACCCCATTCTTATGCATGCCAAGCTCCTAATCCCCTCTTGAATGTGGCAGCTTCCAAGGAAAAGGACAAGAGGCCTTAACTAGAAACAAAAATCCACTGTAATGAGGTGCTAAGAGGACTGAATTTTCAGGATTCATTTCTAACAAAATGGCTGAACAGGAAACTTAATGGTTCTTCTGTGACTTCTGAGTCCCAATCCAAGAAGGTGGGAATTATGGAAGACAAACACCCTAAATATCCGACAAGAGGACAGTTTCAGTACCAATAACTTTTTATTTATTCATTGGATTTTCCCAGGGTAAAAAGAGAAGGGAAAAGGGTCAGCATGTGTATTACAAAACAATAGCAGGTGGGGAAAGTACCCGGCACAGCAAAATCAACCACATAAACACCCCCCAGAGATGGAGTCACTAAAGCCCAAGGGGGCTCAGTCTCCTGCAGTTCAAGAAATGAGGGGAAGGGATCAGGGAAAGAACAGATAGGTACAAGCTTTCCTACCCCAACCCACCCCCATAAGTTCAAGATTTCACACAAAGCTTTGGTTTCTAGCAGTAAACATGGAGTTACATTCGTTCGTCTCCTATTAAACAATCTTGTGGCCACTTTGACATAAGTTTCTTGCACCTGCATAAAAATTCCTGAGTGACTTGGATTATACATTCATCTTCCCTTTCTTGGTCTCCAGACCCTATTTCTACATGGAAGGCCCCCCTCGTTGCTTTTGCTTCTCTCTACCCTAAGATTAGAGATTACAGTAGGGTTGATCCATTCAAATACAAGTGTATTGGTATGAATCACATCAAGGAATGGTCTTGACACAAGATATTAGGAACAAGGGATGGAGTGTTTATAGCTTTTTCAGGGTTTAAAGGTATATGTGGGAGGGGGGCTGTTTTGGGGAGGGGGATAGGGTAGGAGTCAAGTTTTAAGAATAGAAGATCTGGTCCAAAATAGGAAATAGGGGAAGGAAACACAAAAGAAAGGATGGTTCAAGACCACCACACTTTAAGAGGGGTCACCAAGCTATGTTCCAGATTCTCTTCCTGGTGCAGAACCTTTTGTCAAAGATGCTTTGGCTATTTTTCTCAATACAAAAAAGTTTGTAAACAATAAAACCCCAAAAGAACATGGAGAAGACCAACACTTTATATTTACACAAACCAGACCACCTAGCAATCACCCAATCAGCTATTCGTGAAGTCCTACAAAACCCAGACAAATACGATATAACTAGCAGTTGGGGGGGGGGGGGGGCGCAGCGATTGGAGGAGACAAGAACCCAGGATCAGACACACATCACCCAATGCGTTCTATTGCATTTGCCCCGTTTCAACACAGTGAGGTAGGTTTGTGGTGATCTCACAGCATGTAAACGAAACCTTTTCTCCTTTAGCTACCACGACATTAATCACTGCTACAGCAGGGCAGGACACTGGCTCTGGGCACCACAACGCCATGGCTTATGGTCTCTCTGGAAGCCAATAAGAAAAGCCCAGAATTTACAAAAGTTGAGAAATTTAGCCTTTGCTTCATACATCCATCCCTGGGCAGCTCAAGATGGGTACAGAGGTATTGTTCTTAAAGCTATTCTTACCAACTCTTTTTTTTTTTAAACACACACACACACACACACACACACTCTCTCTCTCTCACACACACACACACACACACACACACACACACACACACACACCCTGTTGTGCATGGTAGGCCTAGCCCAATCCAGTGAAGGATGGATCTGGTATGTAAAGTGAGTCCCGTGCCCTGGGATTAGAAGTCTGGAACAGAAATCCTTTACTATACTTATAGACAGCCCTCTCCTAACCTTGGCTTTGGCTCTGCACCTTTTGGCTCGGTGCAGCCTCTTCAAACCTTCCTGTACCACCTTTTCCTGTTCGGACCAATTTCCAGTCTTCCGTTAGAAAGAGATCAAGTCATGGGGGCAACTGAGCCAAAACCTAGTCTCCCATGGAACATTGAAGGCGGAGGGGTTTTTAAGAGGACACTATGGCAGAAAAGCCAGTTCTATTTGGCAAAAATGAGGTAGTTCAATAGGCTATGCACTCCAAATAGTTGTTCTCCCTGATGATAAAACAAACAGTATTCCTGCCGTGCAGACCTGAAGCTGCTGCCGACTTATCCCTGAGATCGCTCATGTACCTGAGAACACAGTGCAGGAACGAGGGCCTTAAGATTAAAATACACAAAAGTACAAAACCAGAACATTTATATTACGAAAAAAAAAGTTAAAATGCACAAGATACGTCATTCGCACACAGCTAGTGCAGTTGGCATCCTGGAGAAAGTGGGGCCCAAGGTGCGGTCATCCAAGGGAGCAAATAAATAAAATTCTATCGGCCCAGAATGGGGTGGGAGTAAGCTTAGGAACAGCAGGTCTGCAGCTGTTCACCCAACAGTCAATCCCTTTGCCTGCGGTCACAACCCATTGCTCGGGAGAGTTCTCAGCATCTTATCCCAAGAGCGGGGTAGGGGACAAGTTGTGGAAAAAACCCTGCCTTACCCTTGAGAGATTCCCTCCCACAGAAAGTAGTGCTCCGTGGGTTGGGCCCATCCATCTGGTCTCATGCTTGATCTTTACATTCTGGCATGGGAAAAATTATTACTACGTATCCTTCTTTGAAAGGAAAACAACTTCCCTATCCAGACCACTTTCAGAAGCTGGAGATCTGGGGGGCGGAGACTCAGCTAAAGCACACGGGGAGAGATTTTCCCCAGAACACGCTCACAAGCATTTGGATAGAGCATGGTTGGAGTTCATTTGCCTCACCCCTTCCCCCTACCCTGCCAAGAAGGAAGAGGGGGTGATGCTGTGGACCCCGGCCTGAGACACATGGCAGCGCCAGCTGCCCCCTACCCACCCTGTCCCCACTTTCTCCACTCTGCCGATCGATGCCTGCTCCTCAAAACTTCCTGATCACAAAAGCATAGCCCCCACCCACTGTAGCTCAATTCTGGGCCTCTGGGAGCAGGGCAGGGCTATGGATCTCTTCTTCTTCTTCCTCCCGAAAGTAGGCTGGCTTTCCCTGTGAGCTGGGGGCCTGCTGGGCTTTCAGTGGACACGAGGCCACCATGTGGCTGATGCTCTGGCAGAAGTGGCACTTCTTAGGCTGGGGTGGCAGCTTGCATTCCTTGGCATGGTGGTCTAGACCTCCACAGTTGTAGCACCTAGTACAAAGCAGGATGGTAAAGTTGAGAAAGGAGCGAGAGCAGAAGCCTTCCTCTGAGTGAGGACACCTGGGCTCTGATCAGTTACTATACTCACTCTCCTCCCTGGAAACCAATTTCCTCACTTACAAAAGGAAGATTTAGGACTAGGACTAGATACCTCTAAGTTCTTCCCAAATCTGTCATTGTCTAGATGGGATCTTCAGATTTATGTCCACTTGAAAATTCTGAAATAATCAAGGACGGGAAGTCATGGACCCCAACTGGGAACGGCAATTCACGAGATAGGGAAGACACTACCATACGCTTAAGAAACTGTACCAGTCATTCACTAAAAAGAGAGAAAATTAAAGGAGTCAGGCAACTATATGACCTGCTCCAGCACAGAGCAAAGACAAAAGAAACTAGCCACTTGGAGACCTAGTGAAGAAGCAACAGGTACATCCACCATCTTGTCCCCATCACTTAGACTTTCCCATCTGTGATCTTCTTTGCTTCTGAAATAATTAAGTGCCCTTCTCACCTACAGCCCTTTCCTCATCTCCCATACCCTAAGGCAGAAACGCCAAACACCCACACGTTGCCAGGGACTGCAGGCTTCATTGTGTCTTTGGCATCCTGGCCCAAGAACGGGGCTAGATTGGGAGAACTCTCCCTAGTCCAGCCACCTTCCCGTCCATACCTGTCTCCCTTTGATCTGCGCTTCTGCATGTTCTTCCCTTTGGGCCGCCTCTCGCTCCCAATACAGAACACCCCACCGGGGCCCGTGACCCGGATAGACTCCAGGCCCTTAGCAGACTTCTTAAAGGTGAACTCCACGGCCTCACCCTCCTTGAGGCTCCGGAAGCCCTCCATGTGCAGCTTGCTCTGGGGAAGGGAAACATGGTAGATTTTAATGTTAGTCTCCATTCTTCCACCAAAAAACTGCATACACGCGTTCTTTAAGGTACAAGTGTGATACTATTTCCATGTTATCAGTAAGAAATTATCCACTCAAAGAGCTACCACAATTAAGAACAAGCGATCCATGTTACATTAACAAAGAATAATCATTACATAAACAGATGCCATAACTTTTTTGTAGCTCTTGTCATTTAGACAAAAGTAGAACAGATGGAAAATTCTTAAACGTAACATTTATGAGAAATCAACAAATAGTGGCGCCTGGCTGGCTGGGTCAGCAGAGGATGAAACTCTTATCTCAGAGTTGTGAGTTCAAGCCCCATGCTGGGTGTAGAGTTAAAAAAAAAAAAAAAACAAGATAGGTGGCTCAGAAGGCTGAGCGGCTGACTTTGGCTCAGGTCATGATCTCGCAGGTCGTGGATTCGAGCCCCGCGTCGGGGTCTGTGCTGACAGCGCAGAGCCTGGAGCCTGCTTCGTATTCTGTGTCTCCTTCTCTCTCTGTTCCTCCCCTGCTCACGCCCTGTCTCTCTCTCTCTCTCTCTCTCTTTTTTTTAATTTTTGTTTTTGTTTTGAGAGAGAGAGAGAGAGAGCGCGCGTGTGAGCAGGGAGCGGCAGAGAGAGAGGGAAACACAGAATCCAAAGCAGTCTCCAGGCTCTGAGCTGTCAGCACAGAGCCAGCGTGGGGCTGGAATGCACGAACCGTGAGATCATGACGTGAGCCGAAGCCGGATGCTCAACCGACTGAGCCACCCAGGTCCCCCCCCCCCAGATTTTGATCTTTGCACTGAGATTGTGAAAGACAATGACCTGAGTTTTAAAAACACACACTGAAATATTTAGTGATAATGGTGCTTGATACCTGTAACCTATGATTTAGACACGATGTTACTGGCAAGTTAAAGAGAAAAGACAGTATGACCAAACCTGATGAATCAGTAAGTTTATAAGGGAAAGCCCACTAGGAAGTTCAAGTATATATAGAGAAATCAACAGGGAAGGGCAACAGTTCAATACCGTCAAGAAAATTACCTATCTGTTTTAGCTATCAAGCCAGAATTCTACACTTTTATAGCACTTGTATGCAAACTACATTCCAGAGAAATTAAATATCAAAATGTTAAAGTATGGAACAACCTGTACAAGTCAAGACAGATAGACTGATAAAACTATAAAAAGCTACTATAAATCAGTAAGAAAAAAAGAATCACAGAATATAATGCCTAATACATTTCTGGATGAATTAATGAACCAAGAGGTAAATCTGAATTGTCTGACTTGGAAAGACAACCGGGTCATAGCGATGAAGGAAAAAAGATCTAGCATGTTTGGAACAACCCCATTAATAGACTACATGTTTATATTAAAATTTAAAAATATCGACACTTGCAGAGAGCCCGGCAGCCTTCCCCAAAATAGGGAGTTATCACATAGCTAGTTGAGAGGCAATAAGCGGGTCAGAAGAACCCAGGGTCCCGATTCAAAACTCACAGTCCATTCTACCTTGCCACTTAATGCATCAACAGCAACACATTAGTGGAAGTGAAAGCCTCTCCCCAGAACAGACTTCATTATAGCTTACTCCATTAGAGTAAAATATCCAAAGAGTGTGTCAAATGTCAACAAGGTGTAGTCGTAGAAAATAGGGATCAGAGAAGCAAAAGGGATCACTGTGCACCTAGTCTTGACGTGAGGGAACATGAATAAGTAGCACTCTTATATTACGCAGGTGGTGGTTGGTAGGAGGAATATTTCAAACTGGGACTTAGGTGAGACATGCTCTTTAGCCAGCCTGGATTCCCACTTTCTCAATCGTGGACATTGTTGTTTTAATTTAGATGGCATTGCTTAAGACAAAGATCCCATGGAGGTAATTGGATAAAAGAGCATAGGGCTGAGTGCCAGACACACCGTAGAGTTCACGAAATGCTGGTTGTACCAATTTTTGGCTGCATGACCTTAGTCAATCATGCAGGTCTGGACCTCAGATCCTTCAGAGAATTGGGGTAACATCGGGAATGCTCAGCAAATATTTCATGTATTATCTGTAGCTTTTGTCCACCAGGTCCACCATAGGAATATCCTTTCCCTTCCTTTTTATTCTCCCAGGAACAGCCAGGGGACGTGATGACCTCTCCCCTCCCCCAATGATGATGTGAGGCAAGGGGCAGAGCATTAAGGCAGGAACTAAAAACACGGCAGAAAGGTGAAGGGCCCTTTCCCCTTTCCTGTTGCACAGAATCGACCTTGATTTGAAGGCAGATATGGCTGGTCTCTTATTCAGCTGGGATAAACCAGTTGTCAGGAGGTACAATCCCAGGTCCTCCCATTTGCCTAGTGGACTCGGAGGCCGGGACACTCCTAGTTCCAGCTGTGATTCAGCAGATAAGTGATTAAGAACAAGGGTTTGGAGTCTGAGACCTGTTTCCTCCTTTCTGTGCTAACCTATAAAATGGAGCAAGTATTAATTTTATGGTGGCCCTATGAGGTTTTATGCATGAAGAGTAGTTAACACATAGCCTATCACACATAAATCCTCAGTGAGTGGCAATTATCATCAACCTCTTCAGACTGGATCAGGGCAGGGTAACAGTGAGAACGGAGTGTCAAGAGGCTCAAAATTTTAACTCGGGTTTTTAGTGCTAACTGTGGAAACTCAGATGGGTTTTTATACCCATCTACACCTCCTAGGCTCACTGTGAGAACAAGAGAATACCAGTGGGGGCAATACGAAACTGACTGGTCCTCTCAGGTCACCCACTCCATCACCGGAGGATTTGAGGTTTATTTAAGACTGTCAAATTTAAAAATGTAACCCTGCAGGGACCTTACCGCAGAGATTTAGACTGGTGGTCTGCAGGGGTGGCTCCCTGCCCCCCCCCACCCTGCCCCTTTCTACAACACATAGTTTGAATTCCTCTCTTATCAGATAGGTAATCGCTGTGCAGCCCCACTGAGCTGGCCTCACAGGGCCAGCATCAGAAAGGAGCCTGAAATTCTTGCTACCACCCCCACCCCACCCCCAACCACACACAAAGCAGGGCCCCGCCCCTCTCCCCATCCCCGCCAAAAAAGAAAAGGCCTGGGGGGGGGGGAGGGGCAAAGCTTGAGCTCCCCCAATAGAGCCCAGCCCCAGGAAACAAAGAGTTGACACTGGTTGGTTCTGGTGGTCAGATTCCTGGAGTTCCAGAGGCTGTAGCTTCCCCGGCTCCCCCGACTCCCCCCTACCCCACATTCATCAGTTCCTTCCTCTCCATAATGGGGTTATGGTCACTGAGAGAAATGGATAGAGACACCTTTCTTCCAGTCAAGCCTGCTGGGTCGGCCAAAGTCACCGCCAGCAGGCATCCTCACTTCTCCCTGCCCTGCCATCCCAGGCTTCCAGGGATAGAAGGACACAGGAACCCCTCTATGTTACCTTCGGTCAAATCCTCTATGCGGGAACCCGAATGAGGGCCATTTATTCAGGTAAATTATTTTCAAGGTTGGTGGGGGAAGCAGGTTTCCTTCCTATCTTCCTCACCCAATTTGTTCAAGGCAGGAGGGCAGGCAGCCCACAAGGAGCCCACTCCGCAGGGGAGGATGGCATTTAATCAGACAGAAAACAGTTGCAAGGAGACCTTTCTTTTTTTGGATGGCAGGGAAGGACTTAGGCCAGTTAAATACTTCGACCTTCTGCTTCCTTAATACCTCACCACGGCCTCCACCACCCTTTCCCGTATCAGATACTCCATCCAGCATCGACCGCTGGCTTCAGCAGCAGTTGATACGAAGGAGCTTAGGGAACATGGTGTTGTGAAAAGCACACAGGAACCCGAGTTTCCCACAACTTGCTCTGTGGAAGTCAGACACATGCTGGTTCTTTAATCATTTGCAAAAGCAGGGGATCAGACTTCATGATAACCAGCCCCAACATTGCCCGGTTTTAGTCACATTGCTCCTTTCTGCAGAAGTGGCAGGCAGAATTTGGGGGAAACTTGCTTTGGTCCCAGAGATCAAAGGTCGCACTCCCGGTTTTTCTGCATCACTCAGGCCCATTCCAGCTCCAGACTGTCGAGTGAGTATCTATCCACTCAGTTCCAAGTGCCTAGCCATACACAAATATTTGTGGAATAAACCAAGTTGTCCACCGCCCCAAACTGCTGATATTCATCTAAGCTTACTATAGGCTAAGGAGAGCTCTAAGCACATCACATGTTGTAATGCATTGAACCTTCGTATCAAGTCTGTCAGATAGGCCTCATTATGACCCCATATTACAGCTGAAGTCATGGAAGCAGAGAAGTAAAGCGTTCTCCAAATTCAGTGCACTGATTGCCATCAGCCTGACCCTACAGCCAGTGCTATGCAGTATAATGCAAGTCATATTTGTAAATAAACATGTTAGATGTAGATATTAAAACTTTCTGATAGCCACATAGAAGTAAAGGAAGCAGATGGAAGAAATGACTCAGTCCCGAATTGTCCCCATAGTCCTACCTGGGCTTCATTCCTGAAGGTAGGGTTTGGTAGGGGCTAGGAAACCAACCGGTTCTACCAGAAGCAGTTTATTTGATGATATGTCAGGGAGGGTTGAGGAAAGAGATCTGTCTGGAACCAAAGGCTGCCAGCAGAGACAACACCCACCAGTCACCTCTGCTCAGACACAGCCAGGACCACCAGTTACTGCCTGGAGTTCTCCACCAGATGGTGCTGCTCATCAGCTGTCAGCATAAAGGCAGCCAGAGGGAGACTGGAGAGGAGAGTTGCTTGGTTTTGAACTGTGAACCAGAGATTTATCTCCCCAGCTTCTTAGGGCAGGCATCCTCGGTCCTCAGGAAGCAGTTAAGGGGACTGAACTTTCAAGGATAGGGCGCTGACTTCTCACCAGGTCCCCACCCACTCAAAGGGTGCAGAAGAAAGCGTCCTGGAGTTTTAAAGCCAGAAACCCAATTGTTCTTATGTTCTCTGCCATTTACAAAAGCCACTAACTCTTCTTGGACTTTGATTTCCTGTCTGAATTAATTTAACTCCAAGCTGAGATAATTTAAAATGAATCTGTACAAATTTCATACTGTTCCTGAAAATTCTCTCTTCCTCTCCCATACCTCCTGACCCCAGACTTAATATAGATAGTAATTGTTACTCCAGCTTGCAGGAAGAAGGGAGGGGTGGTGGTTTTGCCTAGAGCAGTTTCCCCCAAATATAACAGGGAATTCTAGTAGGGTGAGGACCTGGTGATAGTTTGGTTAGGAATGTTCAAGAAACAACCCTGCCCTGGGGAAAGTCACTAAAAAACCACTTCCGGGGCAAGGCAGTGTCACCAGCTAAAAAGGTTCCAAGTTTCTTCTATTGAAAACTTGCTCAGGATGGTGGCACAGCCTTTACTTGGGCCACGGTCAAGAAAGCATGGCTTTTCAGAAAGACAAGGACCCAAGAAGATTCCATAATGCTCAGACTCTACCAACTTTCTGAAAATCAAAATGATTCACTTACTTTAGTCTGATTTCTTTCCCATTAAGGTGAAAATGAAAAACTAACAAATCACCACCAAACCTGTGGCTTCACGTCCATAAGCAAAAATTAGAGTCCTATCTGGGTCTCAACACTTTTGACATTCACTCCAGTTCATGCTGCATGAAGAGCCCAGCCCTATTCTAGACATCAGTTCAGAGAGAGAACAGTAACATTCCCTCCCTTATTATGTCCAGTCTTTCTCTCTGGAGGAAGACCTCTACTGACCAGGACCCCAAACTTGTCCTCCCAATTCAGGAACTCCTTACTTCTTCATATTAGTTCCTTCTGCCCACCAAGTCCATACTAGGAAACTAGACAGCTAGTCCCTTTCTTCAAAGAGCTTATAGGTCAGAGGAGGAGATAAGACCAGCACATCACTGACTAGATATGAGGTGAGTAATCAGAGGCACCAACAAGGTTATAAACCAGGTGGGAAGAAAGCTCCCTCTACATTCTCCCCTCCCCACCCCATCCAGAAATTCCTAATCCAGATCCTGCCTGAGTCGCTCTCTCCCACTCATCCTTTTCAGAAAAAGCAAGCCACGTGGCTTCAGCTGTTTCCACAGTTTCTCTATTGAAATTTTTTCTCCTGACCCAAACTCGGTCCCTCGGTCAGATTTGGGGTCTTCTTTTGCCTCCAGGCCTTCCAATACAGTATTTTAGCTGGAAAGCCATTTTAAACATATTTGGATTCTGAGCAGCTGTAGAAGCAGGGAGGAATTTTCTTGTTTTCAAATTTCTACAAGTCTTGGGGGTTTGGGAGTTGAGCCACAGGAAACATGAGTTAAACCAAAACTCTTAAAATGGCTATTAAGATTTCAAAATTCTTAGTGAATCTTAGGAAAATAGTTTAGTGCTTTCTTGCACCTCCGTTCCCTGTAGAACTGCGTTTCTCAATTGAGGGGGGTTTTGCCTCCCAGGGGGCATTTGGCAATGTCTGGAGACATTTTGGGTTGTCACAACCGAGGGATGCTCTGAACAAAGAGTTATCCTCAGAATATGTCAACAGTGTTGAGGTTGAGAAACCTCGGTTTAAGGGCTGGCCATCTGCCAATATTAGGATTCATAAACTCACCTAACCCTGGGGACAAGCAGAGAGTTCTAGATCTGAAAATCTGTGTCTGAATAAAAGGATTGTTTAGAGAAATCTCTTCACCTTTTTCTTTTTTTCCCCTTTAAGGCGAAGGGCAAGTTTTCTTTCCTACTTATCCACTGCTGGGGGTGCATAATGCATTTGAGAAAGAAGAGTGTGTCGGGAACCAAATAAGCCCAGCCTTGGAAAGGAAAATGTTAAATTGCTTTCCCCCCTTCTTCCTCTTTTCTTAGAAAGGGGCTTCCCGATCCTCCCTCCTGGCAGATGTTTATCTTAGGACAATTATCCTTCTCACCACATCAGGCTCCGAGGTACCCACCACCAGCAGCCAAAGGAGGGGAGGTTTTCTTGCTGAAGAGAGTGCCTTACCCCCCATGCACACACTGGGAACATTTTCCTTCCCTAGAAAAATTTTTAGGGATCATCCTTCATCTACTGAATTCTTCTCCAGTAGAGCCCCCAAGAGATATTCCACATTCCTCAAGTGCAGGGATTGTAATCACCAGTCTAACCGCTACCATAGAGTTTTGAGATCACCCCAAGCTCCGGCCGCTTGCTCCATAGGCTCAGGGAACTTCCAGTCATTGTCCTTCTAGAACTGTTTCGTGGAGGGTGTTAGGGGACTAAATTCTCAAGTCCTCATCCCAGCCCCACTCCCTCTTGATAACTTATTCCACTGTGGAATGTCCTTGGACATTCCAAGATCCCCAAGTCCAGGTTATCTCCCAGCTACCCCATCTGAAGGAGCATGGCGCAGGCTCCCCTCCCCAAAACCTGAAGGTCCCTGCTTTCCTCTATGCCACCCAATATTTTCCACTTGCTTTTGATCCTAAGGTTAAGTGGACTGAGGCACAGATTCATTTGTTCGGGAACACCTTCCTTGGGATTTGGATATCACCAAGGAAACCCAGATGATGAGGGGCTACATTCCTCCCAGATCCTATTCAGCAGCCTTTGGAAGGGAGGCAACAAAATTTGGGGTCTCTTTTACTCCAAGCCTCCCAAAGTTGGGGAAGCTGTCCAGTCCGTCTCCAGACCAAGAGATTTTAATCTCTTTGTGATCAGATAAATGGAAGAGTGGGAGAGCTGGCTACCCCGCTGAGGAGGGCCATTCAAAGCTGGTTCCTGTAATAAAGTGATTTAATAGATCTAAAGAGGCCAATTCCCTGCATTCTCCCACAATTACTTCCTGAGGGTTATCATTCACATATGTAAATGAGACAGGGAGGGGGGCAAAGCCACTAGCCAGAACTAGTTGTCTGATGGGGGGGGGGCGTTAAGACTGGGGGGGAGGTCGAGGACACAGCAAGGAGGTGGCTAAGCATCCTGCTGTATACCCTCCCAGCAGATGTTCGAGTAGTCCAGTGACTCCAAGGTACCCAACATTAAGTGCCTCCCTGCATCCCATTATCACCCTTGTTTCCCCCCACTCTGTGTCCTCATTGAAGGCCATGCTCGGGAGACTTCCCTGCTGCCTCGGACCAGTCCACCCAGGATCTCCCTTCTTCACCCCTCCCCCTCCAGAATACCATCCCTCAGGCTCCAACCCTTAATCCCCACATCCTCCTTTCCCCTCCCCCTCAGCTCCTAAAGCCAACCTCCCCGAAGTAACCCCTCCCTGCCCGGCCTGGGTGTCAACCTACTGGACCTGAGATCATCAATTTCTCCTTCCCAGATCCAACATGAAACCTCCAAAGGTGGAAGGGACACCAGCAGCAACTTCCTTTATGTGGTTGTTATGGGTGGCTGGTGTCCCAGGACCTCTGGGACACTTCTAAGATATTTAGGAGAGGGTGAGAGGAAGAGGCAGCCAGGGAGGAGGGAAACCTGAAGTCTCTGGCTCCTTGTTCGAGGCCGGAATGTTAGGACAGCAATCAATGGCTGTCTGGGGCCATAAATGCCAAGCAGAGAATAGGTCCAGAGGCTAGCCTCCCTCCACCCCCTGCCCTGCGACACTGAATTTCACCCCCACTGGGCTGCCTTGCTTTAACTGAGAACTTGGGGTTGTGACCTAACTCCCTCCCAGCCTGGACCAGGAGTCTAAGGCCTGGGCTCCTTAGGTTTTCCTTCCTGGAAGAAGTGGACGGCAAAAGCCCAGTAGGTGAACTGTGTGCCAGAGGCGGGTACTCTGAAGAGGTTTCAGGCCCCCAAACAGATTCTTCAAGGATCTGCCAAACTCACTCAGGCCTCAGGGCTTTAGTTTTGGGTGACCACCTGGGTGCTGGAACCTAGCTGACTTTTCAGCTTTACCCCTGTTTGATCCTAGAGTGGTTTGCCTGCCTCTCTCCCGCCAGGGAGCTCCATTCACATGTTAGTGAAAGACGCTGGGCGCTCAGGGCCCTGCTCAGAACCGGCATGTGCTTCCCTGGCCGGCCTGCTGGCCCTCCCCCCACCGGCAAGCACAATACAACCTTAGTTTCTGCCACATGGGGTCACCTCCCTGCCCCCTGCCCCCTTCCCAGGGGAAAGAGGTAAGAGACACGTGGTAAGCCAGAGGGGTTCCGGGAAGGGGGTGGGCGTGCTGATAATCGGCTCTGCCCGCCCCCCATCCCGTTGGAATTAATGGGGACTCAGAACTGGGGTGCCAGCGCACAATGAGATCCCACGGTTTCCCTCAATCCAACAGCCGAGTCCGTCCGCCCCAACCTTGAATATGCGCGCCAACATCCCCTTCCCCCGGCAAAGTTGCCAGAATCGGTCTCACCTGGTGCACAAAGACATCCACTGGGGGGTCAAGCGCGACCCCGGCGCGGGCGGTCATGGACAGGAAGCCGAACCCCATGCGCACGTTGAACCACTTACAGATGCCGGCACCGTGCAGCAGCTGCGGCTCCTCGGCCGCCCGGGCGGCGTCCTCCGGCGCCTCCTCCGGCGCCTTGGCGCAGCCACCTGGAGGTTGGGAGGGCGCTCAACTGGGGGGGCCACGGAATCGGGAGGGCCCTCTCGAGACCCAGCAGGGAGACCCGAGTGTCCAGCCCACGGGTGTGCACCCAGGTGGCTGTAGCTACCAAGAAGCTGGCAAGGAAAGACCTGTCCTGGCCGCCTCCCGCGCTCCCCAAGCTTCCACTGAAGCCAGTGTTGCCCCAAAAGTTTTGCTCCTCTTCCCACAACATGTTGCCCGGGGATAGCTGGCCGGACAGGCCCCTCCTCTTCTGTCCGCCCGCCCCCGTAGCCTCGGCGTGCACGCCGCTGGGACACCAGGGTTCCTTGCTCCAGAAATGGCCCCTGAAGCAGGAGGCCGCACAGACTTAGGGTCCTTCGGCCAGGCTGGGGGACATTTCCCAACCTCCCTTTTATGTGGATCCTGGGCGCCCCTGAAGCCTAAGGTGTCCCCAGTAAGTCCCGAGCTCGAACCTGCGAACTGCTGGTTTGACACAGAGCCCATGGTAGTCGGCTGAGCCCGCGGCCCCGGGCCCCTGGTCGGGTGGCTGCTGGCCCCAGAGAAGTCCGGAGGCAAAGGGGTGGCTCGGAGAAGAGGCTGCTACATCTTCCCCAGCACAATAGCGGTGGGAGGGCCCACGGCTTTTCAAAGGCTCCCAAATTCTAAAAGACAATGACCCAACCCCCCGCGGGCAGCCCCCTCCCCTCCCCTCCCCTCCCTCTTCTTTCCCCTCCCTTTCCTTCTGGCTCCAGCTCCGGCCCTCCCCCATCGCTGTGGTCTCTGACACCTCTGGGGTGTCCCTTCTCAGAACCTTGAGGTTTGACACCCCCTCCCCACACACACATCTGGAGATGAGGGCCGTCAGCCCTAGAAGTCTTGAGGACCCTGGAATTTGGGATCCTGTACTTTAAGGACTTAGTGGGGGTCCCCAAAGCAGCATACAGGTGGGGGGCTTGTGGGGGGGGTAGTTTTAAAACCATGTGACTGCTCCCACACACACTCACACACCACCCCCGCCCCCCGCGCAGATAATTATACATTCCAGAGAGTTGGGGGAGGGAGGTGTGAGCCTGGCAGCGCTGGCCAATCAGAGACTCAAACCACCTGTCAAGGGAGAAATGGATGAGCCCTCCCCCTCCCCCAGCTCTTGAGCGCCCCTCCCCCTCCCTTCCCCTTCAGGCCTCCGAGCTGACCCGGCTGCTTGGAGCTGACCCGCTCTCACCCCCCACCCCCGTGTGCTTAGATAGACCTGGAGTTCAGGACACTAGGAAGCCTGGGATGGGGAAGTGGGGGGGGGGGGGGGGCTGGAGACCCAGCCCGGCTGATCTCCAGTCCTGACCAAGGCGCTGCCTCTCAAGACGCTGTCTCTGACTGAATGTCTCTCCCTCCCTGAGTTTCCGACTGTTTTTTAGATCTCTCAAAGTGCTCCTAATTGATTCTGTGTAAAAAATCCTTCCTTTTTTCCTTCCAAATCTGTGTCTAAAATTGACTCCACGTGGTGCTTCCTGGGAGAGCAGAAGGAAACCTAAGAGGCTTGAAGTGTGTTCCTCTCTCCTCCAGCTGCCCTCATCCTGTTCCTATCCCAATCCCATCCCTATCCGTTGCTGGGAGAGGGACGAAGTGGGTAGGTGGGTGGAGGCATTTCTTCCAGTCCTCCGGACACTCTTGGGTAGCCAGACCTTCCTTCTTTCAGAGTCCCATCCTAAAGTGCGCTTCCCTCCCCATGGTGGGGTTGGTGGGGGAACTGGAGTAGACGATCTCCTTACTTGAAGAGGTAGCTCCCCTTCTGGGAGATAAAGAGGGTTGGTCAGGGGGGGTGGCTAGTGCCCTGGTCGGAGATGGACAATGGCCGGGGGCTCAGTGCACGGCCCTGGCCCTGCCCCTTCACTTCCGGTGCTCAGTTCAAACTGGACAATGCCAGCTCCGGCCAGTTCCCCTCCCCCACTGCTACAACCCATTTAAAGAGACAGAGCCTGCTTTCGGGGGCATCCGCTTGCTCTGAATTCAGTCTTCTCCACCAAGTGTGTAGAACCTCTCGCGCTTCTCACCCTGAGCGTGTGTGTGTGTCTGTGTGTGCGTGCGCGCGCGCGCCCGCCCGCCCACGTGTATATTTAAGAGAGAAAGAGAATGAGTGGGGGTAGGGAAGGGAAAGAGGGGAGAGCAAGGGGTTGTGGAGAGATTTTTTTTTCCTCTCTTTCCTACATGGAGAGTGCTCTCCAAAAGACGAAAACTTGAGTGTACGGGATAGGGGGTAGGACTTTGGGTGATAAAGAGGACAAATGTGGCCCTTCACTACTCAGCCTAAAAAATACATATCATTAAACAAATATCATTAGTAATGTCCCACTCCCAGTTGAGAACCTTAATTTCGTTCTTCCAAGAGTTCTTCCAAGTACATCAGCCAAAGCCATTTTTGTTTATATAATCCTCCCCACCTAGGTCTTATCTCCCCTCGGTATTAGGGCCTTTAAAATATATTCACTCCCTGTATCTCTATTCTTCAGATTCAGGAGCAGGTGACTGAGGTCTGGCTGAAGAGAGGGAAAAAGGAATTTAGTGGTTTGGTCTCTCTTGGTCCGCTCTCAAATAAGGGTTGTTCCCTCCGCAGGCGTGACCAGCCTCTCTGTCCAGGGTCCTGAGAACTCCAGGAGCCCTGTCCACGGTGCTGAATAAAGCCACGCTCTCCTGGCTCCCCGCTCCCAGCTTTGAGAATGCCTTATTGATTTCCCACCTCCAAGTCCTTCCCAGAAAACCTCTCTTCTCAAACCGTCAATGACCCTGACACACTTGAGCCAAGTGAAGGGATTCTCTTGAATGCCAGAAAAAAAAAAAAGAGGGAATATTCAGCAGTACATGATTCTGTGAGAGCAGTGCAAGTATCTCAAGCTCCCCTTCAGAAAATTGTATGTAAGAATTCATTTGGCCACAAAGGGTGAGGAAAGAGGACATAATATTTTCTGATTCAAAGGAAAGCAGGGTAGGGGCACCTGGCTAGCTCAGTTGATAGAACATATGACTCTTGATCTTGGGGTTGTGGGTTCCAACCCTACATTGAGTGTAGAGATTACTTAAAAAGAAAATCTTAGGGGCCCCCGAGTGGATAAGTTAATTCACCGTCCGATTTCAGCTCAGTTCATGATCTCACAGTTCGTGAGTTCGAGCCCCACATCAGGCTCTCTGCTGTCAACACAGAGCCTGCTTCAGATCTTCTGTCCCCCTCTCTGCCCCTCCCTCACTTGTTCTCTCTCTCTCTCTCCCCCCCTCACAAAAATAAACAAATATTTTTAAATATATCAAAAAAATACAAATAAAAATAGAATCTTAAAAAACGCGCCTGGGGGCGCCTGGGTGGCTCAGTCAGTTGAGCTTCTAACTGTTAATTTCGGTTCAAGTAATGATCTCACAGCTGGTGGGATCGATCCTCATGTAGGGTTCTGCATTGATGGCAGAGTCTGCTTGGTACATTTTCCCTCTGCCTCTCCCCCTCCTCAAAATAAATAAATAAATTTTATAAATAAATAAATAAATAAATAAATAAACCAGAGTAGAAGAAACAAAACAAAACAAAGCAAAACAACAACAACCCAAACCAACCAACCACCACCACCAACAACAATAACAACAACAAAAACAAAAACCACAAAGGAAACCAGAGTAGAAGAGAGACTAATATTTGTTTTCAAATTATTTTCCTAATTAATGGGAAAATGGGAGCATAGGTGTTGGAGCCAGCTTGCCCATGTTTGAATATTGGGTCTACTTACACAGCGATCTGGGGCACATTCTTTTTTTGCAGGGAGGGGCAAATTCTTTAACCTCTCTATGTCTCAGTTTCCTCCTCTGTCCAATGGGGATAATGAGAATATTTAACTTTCAGAGTTTTATTATGAACAAAGTTAGATCACACACTTAAAACCTTTGAAATAGTGCCTGTAATAGTTTTTAATAATGTAAACTATAACTATTATTATAGCTATTGTGAATATGATTGTCTCTATGAACCAGAACCTGCTGGATCATTTGCTTCTTAGGACTAGGGCCATTCATGTATTGTTTCTTTCTGCATCTTTTCCCACATCCTTACCAGTACCTAGCACAGTGCCTGGCCCATAGAAGGCACTCAAGAAGAGTCTCCAGAATAACCTTTAACTGAAATAATAAAAATGTTATAATAGTCTTAATATTTATTCTCCTGACTGCCTCTCTGAGGTCTAAACAATACAAACCCAGGAGGGTTTCAGGACCTCATAAAGTTGCATATGTAGAGACAGAGGCTGCTTTAGGAAAGGGCATATGGCTCCCAATATAACTGACTCTGCATCCCCAGTGGGTTGATTCTATGTGGGAGGTGGGGACTCCTGACCAAACCTTCTCCTGGGTCCTTGTCTCACTGAAAACTTGTTAGTTTCCTACTGTGAACCAGTCAATGTGTTAGCTCACAAGTTTGGTGGAAGAACCAGGTAAGTATTATGCACTAGGTAGTATGATGACTGAAAATGTACCCCCAAAAAGTAAAGAAGAAACATGTCCAGGTGCATGCCTTGGCTGACTCAGTCAGTAGAGCATGTGGCTCTTGATGTTGGGTTCATGAGTTGGAGCCCCACGCTGGGGGTAGAATTTACTTAAAAGAGAGAGAGAGAGAGAGAGAGAGAGAGAGAGAGAGAGAGAGAGAAAGAAAGAAAGAAAGAAAGAAAGAAAGAAAGAAAGAAAGAAAGAAAGATTCCCTGCCTTCTCAAAAGTTACAGTCTGGTTAGGGAGACAAGGCCTGATATAGCTAAGTATTACAATTTTTTGTGTATTTCTGGGAATAATAATATCTAGGTGGGAAGAAAAAGGGGTCTTTAGACAAAGGTCTAGTATTAACACAAAACATCTGTTGTTGTTGTTGTTTGAATATCTCTTTAAAATATTTTACCAAGTTCCTCTTGTGTAGGTACATATCTTCATAAATGGAAGAGCCGAAATAGGTCTTAGTAATAACTCATTCAACATTTTAAAAATATTTATTGAGCACTCCCATGTGGCAGGCATTGTTCTAAGTGTTGGAAATACATCAGTAAACAATACAAACAAAAATGCTGCCTTTGTGGAGCTTATATCCTGACACCTTACCATAACAAGAGCTATTATTTGTCAAGAATACAGGCACATTTCTTTACTATATTGTACATCTGAAACTCATATAACAGTGTATGTTAACTAACTGGAATTAAAATAAAAACTTGGAAAGCCAAAAATATTTTTTAAAAAGAATAAAGCACATTTCTTATCTCATTAAAGCCTGTCAGTAACTCTGAGTAATAGGTATTAATATTCCCACTTTGTAGGAGAGGAAACTGAAGCTCAATGAATCAATATAACCTGCCTAATGTAGCTCAGCTAATACATGGCAGAAGCAGATTTAACTCACATACGTGACTCCAAAACTCGCATTCTTTCCACAGTCCTAGAAAGTTGTGACTGGTACTGTCCCCATTTTACCAATAAGGAACAAGATATGTACAAGCAAAAAGGCTGTGAAACAAAACTATATATTCAATATGATTAGTAAATAGGACCCAAGCTTGTCCCTGAGCCACAGCTCATCTGTCATTTGTAGTTATCACCCTCCCCCAAACTCCTTGGCTTTATAAATCAAAGAGTTGACCAGAGCGGGGCAATCATCTACATTCAACTACCACTTCGGAGGTGTTTTGAGAATTCTCTGGTAAGGTCCAGGATGGTTGTGTGTGTGTGCGTGTGTGTGTGTTTAAGATTTTAAGTAATCTCTATAAGTAATCTCTATACCCAAAGTGGGGCTCGAAGTTACAACCCTGAGATCAAAAGTCTCATGCTCTGTCAACTGAGACAACCAGACACCGCCAGGATGGTTGGAGTTAAAGCCCTTACCATCTAACATGAATGGTAGTGTGCATTTGAGAAAAGTATTTCCCACAATGTGTCCTTCAGTATACTAGTTCCATGGAATGATTAATATATCTTGCTAAACTGAAAAATTTCTAGGGGCACCTGGGTGGCTCAGTCGGTCGAGCGTCTGACTTCGGCCCAGGTCATGATCTCGTGGTTTGTGGGTTCGAGCCCCGTGTCCAGCTCTGTGCTGACAGCTCGGAGCCTGGAGCCTGCTTCGGATTCTGTGTCTCCTCTCTCTGCCCATCCCCCACTTGTGCTCTGTCTCTCTCTGTCTCTCAAAAATAAATAAATAAATGTAAAAAAAATTTTTTTTTAAAGTTTCTATAGTGAAATATTTGGAAAATTGTATATTAGCTAGATTTCCTATGCAGGACTTTTCAAAGCCTCTAGTATGGTGATGCACTCTGTGATTCATCAGGGAGGGAATCATATTGATGTGTGCAGGGTTTCCATTCATTCATCTGTTCATTCACTCAGTCACCTAACAAATATTTATTGAGCATCTATTATGTGTCAGGTGGCACTGTTTGAAGCACTGAAGATATGTCAGTGAACAAAACAGATTAAATTCCTACCCTTGTAGAGCTTACATTCTAGAGGAGAGGGACAGATAATAAAGAAGTAATTAAGTAAAACGTATAGTATATATAGTTCAAGCTTGTTAATTTGCTCCGTTATCTCAGGAAAGGAACCCAGTTTTACCCTTTAAGGGTAAAATGAGGGAATTGGATTCATTGTTAGACAAATGTTTCTTCCAGTTCTGACATTGTAGTGTGTGTGTGTGTGGGGGGGGTGGTGGGTGTGTGTGTGCAAGAGAGACAGACAGACAGAGACAGAGAAACAGAGACAGGGACTGGGAGAGAGACCCCGTTCCTA